GTCCCCTGGACTGCAAGGAGATCCAACCAGTCCATCCTAAAGGAAATCAGTCCTGAATATTCATTGGAAGGACTGATGTTGAAGCGGAAACTCTAGTATTTTGGCCACCTGATGCAAAGAGTTGACTCCTTGGAAAAGACCCTGATGCTGGGAAAGATTGAAGGCAGGAGGATAAGGGGACGACAGAGGATGAGATGGTTGGATGGCATCACCAACTCAATGGACATGAGTTTGCGCAAGCTCCAGGAAATGGTGAAGGATAGGGAAGCCTGGCATGCTGCAATCCATGGGGTTGCAAAGAGTTGGATACGACTGAGCAACTGAACAACAATTGAAATAATCAATAATAAATGAACTGACATCACTTTGCAATTACACCAGTTATTGTCATTTATACCACTCTTCTAGAACCAAGGATGCTAATAGACATTCTCTGTTTCTTGCTTGAAATCCCTGCCTATTGTCACCATTGTATCAATGTTAGATATTTCTCTTGATTTTCTTCTTTGGTTTTGAGCACGTTCCACAGAAGAGCTTACAGATTTTTAAAACATCTTTGTTGAGATAAAATGCATCCCTTTAAAGTGTGCAGTGTGTGGTTTTAATATGTTCACAGAGTTCTGTAGCCATCAACATGATCTAAGTTAGAATATTTCTGTCAACCCAAACCTGTTAGTATCATTCCTAATTCCCTCCTAGCGCTCTTTCCCACCCATCCCTTCCCCCCAGGCAACCACTAAACTACTTTCTGTCTTTATAGATTTGCCTATTCTGGACATTTCATATAAATGAAATCATATAATATGTGGTCTTTTGCATCTGATTGCTTTGACTTAGCGTAGTGTTTTCAAGGTTCATCCGTATTGTAGCATACATCAGTGTTTAATTCCTTTTTATTGCTTTTTATTTGACTATTATGAATAATGTTCCTAGGAACACTCATGGACAAGTTTTTGTCTTAACATATATTTTCATTTCTGTTGGGTAGGAGTGCAATTGCTAGATCACATGGTGACTGTGTTTAACTTTTTGAGGAATTGCCAAGCTTTCTTTATGAAGTTTGCATTTTATGTTCACAAGCAGTGAATGAGAGTTACAGTTTTTCCACATCCTAGCCAACACTTGTTATTTGTCTTAACTTTTAAACTATAGCCATTCTAGTGAATGTGAAGTGGTATCTCATGGTTTTCATTTGCATACTAACATTGAATATTTTATGTGCTTACTGGCCTTTTGTATATCATTTGTAGAGAAATTATCTGTTCAAATCTTTCACTCATTTTTAAATTAGGTTATATTTTTTATTACTGAGTTGTAATAATTCTTTTGTATTCAGGAGCCCAGTTATCAGATGTATGACTTGTGGTTTACAAACTCTTAGCTATAATTCATCTTTTACAATTCCTTGCTTCACTTTACCCTCATTAAGGTCCTTCATTCTCATCGAACCAGTCTTTTTTTCCCCCTCTTTTTTCTTTTAAAAAAGGAACATATGCAAAAGAAGAGTCAGTAGTATAATGAATCCCATGTAGCTATCACATAACTTCAACAGTTATCAACTCATGGCTGTTTTTGTTTCAGCCACTACCCCCTCACCCCTAGTCACAACACACACACGTGCACAATTAGTTTGAAAGTTTCCAGACATCCCATTATTATATCTGTAAATATTTTTGTAATTATCTCCAAAAGATAAATGCTCTTTAAAAAATTATCACATCTAAAAAAGTTAACAGCAGTTTATTAATATCATCAAAATCTTGTTCAACTTATCTCTTTATTGCCCTCACATGTGTTTTGTTTTTCTGAATATTCAGGCTTCATGTTAGCTGTTTATTTCACTTGGAATACTTCCTCTTAACCTATGCCTACCAAATTTTTTATGTCCTACATAACTTACCTACATGAAGTTTTCCTTTACTGATTCCATTTATGTTTTGAAATTTCTTAATAATTATGTTTAAAATATTGGCAAAATAAGAATATTGTCAATTTTTATAATAACTGAGTTTTGTCCCTAAAGATAGAAAAAATTTAACAGTACTCTGCTTTGTAAAAGTCATCATGGTTCTCAGTGGAGGAATTACTGAAAGTTGTTTGCCTTCTCTGAGAGAGAGATTTAATGTGGGAGAAGAGGGCCCCAAGGGCTGTAGGCCGAGCCTTAAATGGTTACTGGAGATTTCAAGAAGCATAGGAACCACAAGAAACAATGTTTTGGAAGCATTGGTCTCCATCATGAAGAACCTAATGCAAGAACCTAACTGACTTACAGAGCTGCAGGAAGTGACTAGAAGAGCAGGTGTAGCTTCAGGGAGGTGGTTGTATGGGCTTTGCCCAGGAAACAGAGAAACCTTGGTTTTGGATAACTATATAACTAAGTCTCAATTAAAGTTTAGAGTTAGACCAGATTCTGGTGTTTCTATGGAGTGTGAATTTTTACTTGAATCTGACATGTATAGTGGACATCAGGGTCAAGAGAATTAACGCTAATAAGGTCTGAAGGAGGAAGAAGTGAGGATATGTCCTCACCAGGTATCTTTGATTACTGGATGCTTGTGGCCGGAACTGTAGACCAAGCTGATAGTGAAACAAGAAACCAGAAGAAAAAAGACACATGTACAAGCAATTATTGAGTAATGAAAATACATTGTAATTTGCTTAGTTTTTTATTTTGTACTTTGAGGGTTCCTTATACTATATAAAAGTCAGTTTTGGTTTTTAAATGACTGAACTGAAGAAAATGATGGATGGGGATTGCAAGGGAAATCAAGGGTAGAATTTATAGTGTGAAGTTGGAACTTGGAGAAAACTGAGCTTTGTTTACCTTGACTACATGCACAAAGTAATATGTGCCACAATAGTATGGTAAAATGGGCACAGAAATATTTTCCTTATTTCCATATTATTAGAGTTGAATGGCATAATGTACGCTAAGGTACTTTGAAAACTTCAATATAGTGTGTAAATTCTGGTTAAATAAAGGCCTTAAGAACACAGCCTATTCACTTGGGCAACAGGAAACACAAAATTTCAGCAGATAAAATAATCAGGAAATGTGAGTTTGAGAAGCTTCCTTGGACCTATTTAAACTATTAACTATGCAAGCCCTGGGAGAATTGAAATGGTTAGGGATCTTTATATGTGCATATAATAGAAGGTCTGAGGTTATAGTTCTTTTCTCTATTTCAGAAGACCTGGACGGGACTGGAGGAGAAGAGTATCCCATGGATATTTGGCTATTGCTGGCCTCCTATATCCGTCCTGAGGACATTGTGAATTTTTCCCTGATTTGTAAGAATGCCTGGACTGTCACTTGCACTGCTGCCTTTTGGACAAGGTTGTACCGAAGGTGCGACCACAGAGAGCTCACTGTGTTATCTGTGTGGCTGATTTCATTGTTGTTTTTGATTTGGTGCTACTCCCTGGATGGTGACCTCTTTTCACTTTCTCTAATTCAGGCCTGAACCTAGCTTTGACTTCCTTGAACTCCTCTTTAAAATTGATATTAATTCATTTAGGTAACTGTCTTCCCTATGGTTACCTGCTTACCCCCAAGCAGAATCTTATTAGGTTGGTACAAAAGTAGTTGCTGTTTCAGACCGTGAATTTTAAATCATTGTAACTAGGCTCAAACACATCTTTGTTAATCAAAATAGAAACCATTACATTCAACACATTTTTGCCAATGAGAAATAAGACATTCCTGTAGCATGAAGGTCTACGCCTCTGGATTCAGTGAACTCTTGGAAAGCATTTCTGCCTCCTGCTGGTTGTGGAGGCGTTTTGCCTGCAAAAAGTTGTTGAGATGCTTGAAGAAGTGGTAGTCAATTGGCAAGAAGTCAGGTTAATATGGCAGATAAGGCAGAACTTCATAGCCCAGTTCATTCGACTTTTTTTTTTTTTTCCTTGTTCAACTTTTGAAGTGTCAGTTGTGCAATGTGCAGTCAGGCATTGTTGTAGAGAACAATTCTTGGGCCCAATCTATTCACCAATGCTGGCTGCAGGCATTGCAGTTTTTGGTGCATTTCATCAATTTACTGAGCATACTTCTCAGGTGTAATGGTTTTGCTGGGATTCAGAAAGCTGTAGTGGGTCACATGGGCAGCAGACTACCAAACAGTGACCATGACCTCTTTTGATACAAGTTTGACTTTGGGAAGTGCTCTGGAGCTTCTCAGTCCAACCACTGATCTGGTCATTGCTGGTTGTTGTATAAAATCCACTTTTCATCGCATATCACAATCCGATTGAGAAATGGTTCATTGTTGTTGAGTAGAATAGTAAAGTGAAGTCACTCAGTTGTGTCCGGCTCTTTGCGACCCCATGGACTATAGCCTACCAGGCTTCTCTGTCCATGGGATTTTCCAGGCAAGAGTACTGGAGTGGGTTGCCATTTCCTTCTCCAGGGGATCTTCCTGACCCAGGGATCAAACCCAGGTTTCCCACATTGTAGGCAGACGCTTTACCCTCTGAACCACCAGGGAAGCCCTAGGAGATGACAGTTCAGAATGACAATTTTTTTAATTTTTGGTCAGCTCATGAGGCACCTAGTTATTGAGCTTTTTCACCTTTCCAATTTGCTTCAGATGCCAAATGACCATAGAATGGTCAATGCTGAGTTCTTCAGCAACTTCTCCTATAGCTGTAAGAGGCTCACCTTTGATGATGGTTCTCAACTGGTTGTTGTCAACTTCCACTGGTTGGCCCCTACACTCCTCATCTTCAAGGCTCTCGTCTCCTTTGCAAAACATCTTGAACCACCACTGCACTGTGTTTGGTAGCTATTCTGGGCCAAATGCATTGTTGATGTTGTGAGTTGTCTGCCGCTTTATGACCCATTTTGAACTCAAATAAAAAACCACTCCAATTTACTCCTTGTCTAACATCATTTTTCCATAGTCTAAAATAATTACGAAATAGACAGCAAGTAATGTCATTAGCAAAAAAAAAAAAAGTGAGAAATGCACATTAAAATGATGTATAATATAACCACATTTATTTAAGAATATATTCCAATATCAAGTGGCAAAGTTCAACAATGTAAAACCCCAATTACTTTTGCACCAACCTAATGCTTTCAGCAAAAGTAAGGTCTCAAAAATAACTATTTTTGACTTTGCTTCAGAGGTTTATCTTAGCTAGAATTCTCAGAAACTATAGATGCCCATCTGTTTATCTTTCCAACTGGATTGGTTGTTTCTTAGATTTGCTAGTCATCTTGAATGCATAGTCTTTGCATTTATGTGGCTCTGTATAGTTGCAGTGGTGAGGAGAGAGTGAATGATGTGATTAATAAGAGAGTCTGGGTTAGAAGCGAAGTGAAGATTATAAACTGTTGGTAAGAATATGGTGAAAGGAGTTGTTGAGGTTATCAGGGAGTGGAGAACTTTCTGAGACATGTGACAAGAGAACCTGGTAGATCTTCTTCAGTGCAAGTTCTTTTTCAGTAACTGAAGTGTATTGTACTATTATCAAGTCAGAGACTTGCCCTTTTTTAAAGTGAAATAGCGAGGATTTAAAATTTTTAAATGAATAGAGAAGTGCAGGATTATAAGGTATATGTGAATTGGGTTTTTCATAACAGAGAAAAGTAGCTGAGAAGTGAAGGAGATGATTTGTACGTGTGTGTGTGTGTAAGAAACAGAGACCGCATGAGAGCACTAGGGACAAATTAACTACTGGCCAGTGGAATAGTAATGTAAAATTTGTACAGAGCCTAGGAGTCCTAGGAGACTGGCCTAGAACAGAAGAGACAGGTTGCTTACTGGTAGGAGTAATGTGTCATGTTTCAGACACTACACACTGGATGCCTCTCTGCCTTTGCGCCTGCGACCAGAGTCAATGGAGAAGCTGCACTGTCTTCGGGCATGTGTGATCCGATCTCTGTACCATATGTATGAGCCATTTGCTGCTCGAATCTCCAAGAATCCAGCCATTCCAGAAAGCACTCCTAGCACATTAAAGAATTCCAAAGTAAGTGGGTATTAGTGGTAGGGTTTAACAAGTGGGCTCTTGTATAATGGGCCTGTTATCATGGCTTGTTTCTAGCTGCCTTAATGGGATGGTCTGGGGCTGTAGATACCAGGCTGCTCGGGGACTAATATAAACTTTCCACGCTTGGGGGTATCGTTTCTCCAGGACATTCCTGCTGTGCTGGGCTGGCTTATGTTATCTTTACCTTAAAGCTTTCTTGTGCTTTTAGCATATTCCTTATTGTCTTTATTTTCATTTATTTTCATGCCTTATACATTGAACAACTTTAAATGGTTTGATGGTTTGAGCGAGGAAGAAGACAGTTCAAGTGGTAGATGTAAACCATAATTCTCAAAAGGTACTTTAAATTATGATGTGCTAAGTCACTTCAGTTGTGTCTGACTCTCTGCAACCCCACAGACTATAGCCTCCCAGGCTCCTCTGTCCATGGGGATTCTCCAGCCTAGAATACTGGAGTGGGTAGCCATTTCCTCCTCCATTAAATCATAATACAAAAATATAAAACAACTTACTAATTTTCTTTTTCTGATGTGACCTTGACATCTGCAATGTCACTTTCTCACTGACCTTAAAAGATTCTGGTGTAGACTTCCTCAGCATTTGCAAAGTGCCTACTGTTGCCAGGCTCTAGGATGGGTTGTTTCAGAGACTATGAAGTATTCCACTCATAGACTTTAGCGCTGTAAAATTCTTCCTGTGTTCTAGGCCATTATTTATATCTTTGGATTTCCCCAGTAGTTTATATTCATTCATACATTGTATTCAAGTTTCATTGTATTTTTCTGATCTGTAAGTGGGTCTGTAAGCCTGTGGTCCATTTTGTCCTTTGTTCCACTATGAGGTATCTAGTGAACACACCTTTGCCAAGCTAGACTATTACAGCATATATGATTATTTAGGCAAGTCGATGTCTCCAGCTTTTTTCTCATTCAGCTAATACTATTGTCCAAATTTTGTATCTTTTGAGTTTGTGAATTTTTTTTTTTTACTCTATTCCTACCCAAAGTCTTATGTTCTTTAGCACTTTGTAATTCTATTTTGTTTTTTAAGCTTTGGATGTTAATGATTCTTTTTCCCTAGTTCAGTTCTAGTGTGATAACATGCTGCCTGATACATATTGATTAAAAGATTACTGTTGATTTCAAGATCATCATGGTTCTTCCCAGGGTTGCCAACTGAGGTGGTCAGGGTCATTGGCTGAGCTCAATTTAATGTCACACTAGTTGATGGATTTAGGGCAGGATTAGAATGCCGAGTGGGTAGAATTTTATTCCTTCTTACAATATGAGTAGACAGAGTATCTTTTCACATTTATAGTTTTCCTCCCCCCAAAGACCTTTGATCATCGCAGGTTAACTGTGGTGAGGTGGGATCATCCCAAAGCTGACCGTGGCCGGGTGTTGATCAGTTGCTGGGAGCAGAGCAGCACTGGGCAGACTTCATGCTGGACATCCTTGCGGCTCCAGTGCACAATGCAAGTGCTACTCCTAAATCTAAAATGCCTGTCTTCATACTTTTATAATTGTATATTAATTTTTAAGTGGACTACTAACAGTGGTGATAACAAAAATCTTAAATCGAGACAGGAAGCCTAGGCCACCTGTCTGCTGCTTTTGTGTCCATTGTTAAGAGATCTGGAGGACATGGGACCTGCAATGGCTGATGTCCCATGCATTGCCTTGCTAGTATAACCATAATCGCATGGCATTCAGGAAGTTGCCAGCATGCCTGAAGGAAGTTGTCACATGTTGCTGGACTCCACCTTTTCGTATTTGATTCTCCCTCTCTCTCTTTTCAGTAGCATAGCTTGTGTGGGACACTGGAGCCGTTGTGTTGGCAGCAGAAGTGTTTGCCCCTTAAAGCCAAGCCCATTATTTTTGATGGAACAGCAGGACGTACAGGGCATGTCTGAAGGGCAGGACAGCTGGCACGGCGGACGACCCACCCCTTATCCCCTGGGAGGTACTTAACTTCTTGTGTTAACCCTAGCTGTAGCCTGACTTTTCTTGAGGGACTTACTCTAGATTGAATTCAGCTCAGCTTTGTAGTTTCCACACCAGCTGTCTGCTCCCAGAGGTCCTCAGTGGTTTGCTCCTATTACATTCAGGGTTGGCTATCTCTGCCTGCTTTATGGCTTTATTATCATCTTATCTGGTGGCTACTGGCTGCCCTTATATTTTAATATAGAGAAGTGGCCTGCTGAATGCCCCAGTCTCTAGAGACCATGTTTCTGTCTTTAAAGATGAGAACAATAGGGGTTGACCTTAATAGCATCTGAGGTTGACTTTTATCAGTACCTCTTCTCTTTGTTGAACAGCCTTGGGGTTGTCTCTTCTCAAGTTGCACCAATGTCACATTGGGAGGGTGAGAGGGCAGGATACGGGTTTTCTATCTGTGCCAAAGTAAAATCTCAGCATTAGAGCCATGGCTGGCTTTAGAGCTAGCAAACAGAAAAGTTATTTTTATTTTCTTACAGTGCTTACTTTTCTGGTGCAGAAAGGTTGTTGGGAACAGACAGGAACCAATGTGGGAATTCAACTTCAAGTTCAAAAAACAGGTATGTGTTTTTATCATCTCTTTGCTTTTCAGGTAATAACTTGCTCTAATTTTGCTAAACATAAAAATGCCTTTTTAAAATCAGATACTATACATTAAAACTTACAATGTCATGAAAAGAAAGAAGGAACTATTTTATATGAAAGAGGTACAAAGATTTAATAGCTTAATGCATAGAGTAAACCTTGAGTAGATCCTGGATTAATGAACAGAGATACCTCTTTATGTATAAAAGACATTTTTGGTACAATTAAAGAAATTTGAAGATTCTGTGGATATTAGATGATATGAAATTATTGTTAATTTTTTTAGGTGCCAATGTTACTTTCAAATGACTTTGCCTCCCCCGCCCCAGAGCTGTGATTTTTTTTTTTTTAACATGTGACTATATATGTATTTATAAAATGAGAGATGTGAGAGAAAAGAAAACAAACATGGCAGAATAGCCAATGGTAAAGGGTATACAGGAGTTTATTGCATGGTTTTATTAATTTTTCTGTATACTTGAAGACTTAAAAGTAGAGGAAAGAACTTGTTATAACAATGTACTGAGGTTATTTGCCTAAGAATTTTTTTTTCAAAGCAAATGTATTTGTAAACAATAATAATTCATACGGTTTTATATCTGAGGCAATTTGAGGAAGCCCTGGGGAGAGAGACTGCTGAGAGTCTGTTCGCAAGAAGAGCATATACTATTGTACCTTTCTTTCTCCTTTTTGCTTGGACTGTACCTGAGATCTTGGATACTGAGAGGACCTGTTCTGCATGTCCTTGCATGTGTTTCCTCATCTTTCAAAGGGCTTTCCTTGATCTGTGTAGAAGCTGATATGTATATTAAAGAGAGAAGAGATACAGAAAAATGGATCTCAGCAGCTTTAGTTAAGCATTTTCATTGGTGGAATCTTAGAGCCATAACATTTCCTCTAACCCATGAGAGTAATTCTTAATTCTCCTCAGTCCCCAAGATTAAAGAGCAAGTGTATGGGAGGATTGCAGCCTCCCATTCAGTACGAAGATGTTCATACCAACCCGGACCAGGACTGCTGCCTACTGCAGGTCACCACCCTCAATTTCATCTTCATTCCAATTGTCATGGGAATGATATTTACCCTGGTAAGTGGAGACAGGATGTCATCCTCAGTTCTTTCGTAGACTCTCACTGTACCTAGAATTTGAAAGATTTGTATATTTAACCACTGAGGAAGAAATCTTTGAAAAAAATTATTTTTTAAAATAATTTTAAACAAAATCTGAAAACTGACTTTTATATTAGCAATAGACTTATTTGTGGAGAAGTTAATTATGTCTGAGAATATTTTACCTCTGTTTCCTTCTCTATAGTGAATAGAATGGTTTTGTATCTCCTGTGTTGTGCTCGTTAATGTTTGAGAAACATTATCCCATTAAGGTTAATGATAAAACTTATGCATGGACACTATGTCAGGATCTGAAGCATGCATGTGGTAAATAAATGGAATATTAAAATGTAGGGTTACCAGCTCTGTCCTTTGTGTGATTCTCTTGACTATTCAAGGTTTAGCATTAGATTAGTAAACAACAAATATGCCTCTGGTATATTTTCCATATTTTTAACATTTTTAACTGGATTGGCAACTGGAGAGTTCATGTAATTTATCTTTTCTGTATTTTTGGCTTATGTTCAGAGATATGTTCCCCCCTCCACATTGAAAATAGCTTTATTCTTTTTTTAATGGTAAAATAAGTAATGCATACTTCATGTGAAGAATTAAATAATACATAAACATGTTGAGACAGTAAAAGTAACTTAGACTTGTATCCTATAACTGCAGTTAACTTCTGGGGAATTGTTCTTTAGTGTTTCTGTTAATATATACATGTTTGTATAATTCAAAGTATATCATATATCTGTTTTTCATACTTCATATTCTTCCTATTCATATAATTCTCTACCCATCTATATATGTTGATATATAAACACATTTAGAGATTTTGTGATTTATTTTCCCAAAAAAAAGTCATCAGATGTATCTCATCAAAATCCCTTCAAATCATCTCTTAGAGCTCCAATCCAGTTTTTAAAAATTGTCACTGATGGTACTCTGTGTGCACATATCCTAATATGTGCAGCCATTTGAGAGGCTTTCTTTAGCACAGTTTAAATATATGAAGCTAAGAAAAACTTATAAAAACCACTGTTAATTTTTAATATTTTTGCAAAGGTGCTGGTAGTGTAACTTAGAGATTATTTTGTGGCCTAGTCCATGTCAATTGTCTAGACTGTTTCATATCAGAGTGTGTCATAGGAAAACAAAGTTGTTAAATTTGGGTATTGAATTTACTTTTCCTTCCTAGTTTACTATCAGCGTGAGCACGGACATGCGGCATCATCGAGTGAGACTGGTGTTCCAAGATTATCCTGTCCATGGTGGTCAGAAACTGCGCAGTGAACAGGGTGTGCAAGTCATCCTGGACCCAGTACACAGCATTCGACTTTTTGACTGGTGGCATCCTCAGTATCCGTTTTCCCTGAGAGCATAGATATTGCTTCCTGTCGCTGAAGGCAGCCCTGAGCTAGGCCAGTCCATTTGTAATCAGATTCCAGTTTGGAAGGGGCAGCTGGATTGTATATCTAGTCAGTAATGCACATGCTCTTTAGGTTTCTGGGGTTCCTGGTAGAAGGAGGATTGAATCAGGAGGAAAAACAACTATGATTTATAAATGTATTTTAATGTAAAATTTTGCATTTGAAAGGAGAAACCTGACCCTATTTTCTGTGTTAAACCCCATTTGGTGCTACTGAGTTTGTTCTTTATTCTTTTACCACAGCCAAAGTGGATGATCTTGCTTTAGGGGGAAATTAAACTCTTAAATCTCCAAACAAGGAAATTTTAGCATTCCTTTATGGATCAGAGTAACCTTAGAGGTGTAAAATTGTTGCTACTATTGCTTTCAGTTTAGCTGCCCCTCAAATTCAAGTGAATGTTTCCTTGTTTCCCTTTACCCTTATCTAGAAATAAAGCAGGTGACAGGGTCTTCAGAATCTTAATGAGATTGATTTGTGTATCTTTCTTTAAAAATAATTGTTGCATAAATATTTTGCCAGTTTTGAATTTTAGTTTTTTTTTTTTTTTTTTTTTTTTTTNATATGTTAAGTAAAAGTCACAGTGGGGTGGGGCTATAGAGTCTTTTCTTTCTTTTTAAAAAAAAATCTTTATGCCTTTTCCCTTTCTTATTTATTTATTGAAATAGAGTTGATTTATAATATTGTGTTAGTTTCAAGTATACAGTGAAGTGATTCTGTTATACATATAAATGTATACATCTGTATTCTTTTAGAAATTATTTTCCACTATAGTTTATTAAAAGATAGTGAATGTAGCTCCCTGTGCTATACAGTAAATCCTTGTTATTTGTCTGGGCTTTCCTTGACAGAGACCCTGCTCTAGATGGGGGAAGATGAGTTCTTATGTGATAATTAGGACCACTAACTGTCACTGCCCACTAACCTCATGCTGGGGCTTGTGTTAATGCTTCACTTGAGTCAGTAATTGTTCACAGTACTCCCGTTACACAGGCACCATTCCTACTGCTCTCCCACTTTACAGATGAAGAAACTGAGGCTTGGAGTAGTTAGGTGACTTGTTCTAAGCTGCGCAACTAGGAAGGAGAGTAGCCAGGATGTGAACTCAGAGCTTTAGACGCCAGAGCCCGCAAACTTCACATCAGATCCTGCCGCCTGCCTACTCTGATAGAAGATGGACTCTTCTATGTGTCAAAAGAGGTGTTGCTAGAGTGCTGCTGGCGTTCAGAGGGGGAGAGATGATTCCCAGCATGAGAAACCAGGGATGCCTTCCTGGAGGCAGAGGCACTGGACTTTTATACAGGGCGTTTGTTGTACCTGGTGGTCACTAGCCCCTGTGGAGTGCTTAAACCAGAGATGAATCAGGGTTTCTCAGCGTTGGTACGGTGGACATTTTGCAGGCGACAAGTTCTGCTGTGGAAGGCTGTCTTCTGCGTTATAGGAGGTTTGGCCGCACCCTTGCCTTCTAACCACCCCTCTTCTCAAGTGGAGACAACCCAAAATGCCTCTTGACGTTGCCAAATGTCCCCTGGGAGGACAAGTCACCAGAGTTAAGAACTACTCTCCTGAATGTAGGTGAGGATGGGGAGGGGGATTCTGGGCGTCCCCCTTATTCCTGGGGGAAACTGGAGGCAGAAAGCCAGTTTCTCATCCCAGCGGCTGCAATCTGAGTGATTCCGGGCAAGACCCATCCCCCGGCTGGCCTGAGTTTCCGCATCCAAAAGGTGAGGTGTCTGGAGGCAGCGGGTGGTCCCCAGGGAACCTTCCGTCTGGCAGCCCGAGACCGGCCGGGAAGCGTGGTCAGCTGTGCCCGCGCGCGGCCTGCCGCGGCTTCACCAGGCGGTGCAAAGACACAGCTTCCCCCAGGCCGCCGCTCCCACCGGGGCGACGCAGCTGGCCCTCCGCGGAGCTCGCCGCCCCTGTCGCCCCCGCAGCAGGCGTGTGAAGGGCTCTGGGTGTCACTTTCCACAGCCCCGCCCGGTGACAGCCTTAATCACAGCCAGGAAGAGCGGGGCTCCGGAGGTGGGGACGAGGTGTCCTCGGGTGTGAGAAAATGATTCACGCCGGAGGACCGGCCAACTGGGCCAGCTGGAGTCACTTCCTGAGGTCCCGGCGGAGGAGGCGCGGCCCCCTCTGCTTCAGTGGAGACTCAGCTCTTGCCTTCTCCTTTTGTCCTGGGAGCCAGGCGGAGGTCCCAGGCGAGGGCAAGGGGGTCACAGGCTTCATCTGGCTTTGGGATTTAAAGCCACGGTGGACAGTGGCGGCCGATGGTGGGAGGTCCCTCCGGCCTCGCTGAGAGCTGCTTTGCTGCCTGGGAGGTGGGGGGTGTTCCCTGCAGGTCAACTGGGGGCAGGCTTTGTGACCTGGGGCAAGTCGGTCCACCTCTCTGGGTCTCCGTTCCCTGGAGCCCGTCAGCAGTCACGGAGGGTTGCTAGGAGGTACCCCGGTGCGTGGGGTTAGTTACAGGGGTTAACACAGGTGCCTCCAGGATTCCTGGGGGCTCAGTGGTGAAGAATCCACCTGCCAGGCAGGAGACGCAAGTTTGATCCCTGGATCAGGAAGATTCCCCTGGAGAAGGACGTGGCAACCACTCCAGTGTTCTTGCCTGGGAAATCCCCCGCGGACAGAGGAGGCTGGCGGGCTACAGTCCGTGGGGCCTCAGCGTCGGACACGCCTGAGCCGCTGCGACTGAACTGCCACGAGGACGGCGTCTCCACTTGGCTGCAGTGGTGACGAATAACGCACAGCTTCCACCCGTGTCCAGCCATTTGTCATGCACCGTCCTTGGCCCCTGGTCATCCTTGGGTGGGTGGGGGGAGTACTTTATTTATTTATTTAGAAAAACTGAAATGAGGGGATAATTGCTTTACAATGTTGTGTTGGCATCCGCCAGACATGAACATGAATCAGCCACAGGAATACATGTGTCCCCTCCCTCTGGGCCTCCCTCCCACCTCCCACCCCATCCCACCCCTCTAGGTCATCACAGAGCAATGGTTTGAGCTCCCTGCATCGTACAGGCAGACGCAGAAGACAGACTTGTGGACAGGACACAGTGGGGGAAGGAGAGGGTGGGACCACTGACACAGGAGCACGGAAACATATCCACTGCCATGTGTAAAATAGTTGGGAATTTGCTGTGTTCATCCTTCTCTGTTGGTGTATAAGTGCTGTGCACGGTTGTGTTAGTTTTTGCTGTATGATGAAGGGAATCAGCTATATGTACACAGATGTTGGCTCCTTCTCGGATTCCCCCACCCCCATCCCACCCTCTGGGTCATCACCCAGCACCGAGCTGAGCCCCCTGTGCCATTCAGCAACTGGAGGGAGTGTTTTTAAGCTTTAAATTTAAATTGTTTTAAGTTTGCAGACGAGGCTTTCGGTGATTAAAGCTATTTGCCCATGCGGTGGACAAATGCGTCCAGCCCCAGAGGCAGAATCTGAACCCAGGCCCTTTCCGAAGCCCCGGGCCTGGTTGGTCTGAATTCAGGGCTCGTGCTCCCTGCGTGCGGTCCTCCACTCCACGGCTCCGAGGGCCTGTCACTCACTCCCTCAGCCCGTCTGTCGGAGCCTGAAATGCAAGGCTCTGAGCTTTGGCTGTTTACCCCGGGTCTCCATCA